TTTTTTGATTATTTGCTAGTATCTTCTATTCCTTCAATCATAGCCTTGAACTGAAATTGTATTTGTATTGTGCAATTTCATAACAACCAACGTGGTATTACAGTTTTATCTCAAAATCACATACAAAAGTAATTTTCTCCCTTTAAAATTCAGACCAGTAATTTTAGGATGGTTTTCCATGGTCCCCCCCTGGCCGCCCCCTGGGGGCGCCACTGCTCTGAGAAAGGCCCATTTACAGTACTACACCTTTTCTCTGCAAAATTCTGATATGCTTGCTTTTCTTGTGGTGAACCTTTGATGTTAACTGGCTTATGTAGGGGTCTGATGATTTAATAAATTTACTTTTTTCATATTTTTTTATCATGACAACTGGATGCATAATTTATCAAACAACGACACTATGAATTACAGCATGTCTTTTCTGAGGATGTTATCTCTGAGAGCTCACACCACACTGTACCTCTGACTGAGGTCGTATTTTAGCTTCATACTAACCTCTGTTCCCTTACTCCAAACTACTATAAGTTTTCCCAGTGGGCTAGGAACTCATTACATGATACATCACATTTGTTACTCTAATTCCTATTGTTAAAGACAGCTCAGAACACTTCAATAACATTTTTCTGTGTCCAAATCAGACTCATGCTTTTTTTTTTTTAACTGTCACAAAGGTTTTTTGTGACACAGCAAAAATATAAGACTATCTCTGGAACCCACTCTGCCAGCTCTGTTTGTGTTGCAGAGCATTTAAAAGAACTAAGTGCACTCTTAGTGCTCTTACTCAGCTGCCTTAGAATATAGGAATCATTTACATTTTCAGGGGAAGAGAAAGGGAAGAAGGAGGTAGGATGGGAGGAAGACACCTGACAGTGTCTTACCTTCATCCACTTCATCGTTGGACATGATGGCTACGCACTTCTCCCACACCATGCGAATGTCGGCCCGATAGCGGTCACAAGCCCAGAGGAACATGGGCAGCAGGATAGACTGGGCGATCGAGCACCACAGCACACACAACACCATCCAGTTGTAGGAGCGGTCAAACTTCAGACTGGCAAAGCTCACCACCTGCACAGTGTCAGTGAAGGATTAGTAAAAGCATGTAGGGAGGTCTTGGAATGCTTTCTGTGTTAAACATGACCAGAGATAAAACCAGTGTTAGCAATAATAACACGGACTGGGCAGTAAACACAAGATACCAGGATCACAGAACTGCTGTTCGTTTAGTGTGAAACACAGGTGACAGGATGAATAAATTCTCTACCTGGAAACTAACAGTGGAATTGCCTTTCATGTCTGTTTTAAACATAAGGAATAATACATATTATCAACATGTAAAGACACTCAGACAGTTTTTTGTTTTTTCTTTACTCTTTTATGTGCTCAATATCTGGGGTTCCCCTGGTTTCAACAGATCCTGTTATTTTAATGATGATTTCAGCGATGAAAAAACCTGATGAACATAGTTTTTGGACAACAGCGGAGGTCTATGGCACATAAATAAGATAAACCAGGTTCACATGCGTTATAGTGAGTACATGAAATTCAGTTGACTTTTGTCACTGTATGGGATGTTCTGAAAATAACAAAAACAGAAAATCACCAGCCTTATCCTTTCATGCATCGAACCAAAATGCTGATCATATTTATTAACTCATTATATCTTGAGTGTCACCTCGTCATGTCTCAACCCAATCTAATCCATCTGCTGACCTTATATAAAAAACATGAGGCCCACCAAAAACAAGGGAGACAATGGAAAACACTGTAGGTTTTCTTTTTATTAGAACAAGCTATTTAGAAATTCCAAACAGATTTTGGACTTCAGGTTTCCATCATTTCATTTTTAATCACACTTCCAAAAAATCCAAAATACAGTACTACGGCCACTGGAAGATAACATCCCAAAACAGCTTTCACTTTCATATATTACAATGTTGGCAGAGTAAGTATAGTTTTTTTTTCAAGTTGTAAATCTCACTGGCTATGTTTGGAGTGCATGCTCATAGAAATCATTTTTGCTTTGTGTCTTTAGTATCTATGATGGTTTTCCAACTGTGGTGACCATCTTCTGTTCTGTTTACTGTATATATATATATAAAAAAACATATATATATATATTCCTTAGTATTTCACCAAGTAACCCCATACAATTGAAAACTTGTATGCACATCCATTTGTATGTGTGTTACAGCTTTCCATGCATTTAAATAGCTCATTACATCTGGTCATAAAGAGAACTAGCAGAGATATTGTTGTTTCTGTCACTGCCCTGGAAATATAATCTTTCGTGAGTGCTATACGACCCTCTCAATTATGCACACACATGCAGACACACATTAGGACGCTGTCTTAGAAGTAATATACCACTGTCTTTGAAATAAACTCTTGGATCTACTTTCAGCCTATAATGCAACCAGGATACAGTTTCACCTCTGATCCTGAGCTCATACATTTTGGCCCGATGTTGTTAAATCTTACAACAAACGCACAAAAACGGCAAAGGCATTATACAAGGAAATGGTCTCATTTCTACAACTCATATTTCATCTTACAATGATATTCCCTAATTTATAAAAAGCATTTCCCAGTGTTGTAATTCCTTCTGCACAACAAACAGCAGCTGTGGTGTATCAAAGCCCTTGAGGTCATCACTGCTGGATAATTACTCTCCAGACTTAATAATGAAGGTAATTTAGTGTCTATACTTTTATTCGCATTTGTTTTTTATCTAAAATACGACAAGCTAACATCTCCCCAAAATCTCCACTAAGACCCTACATGTTCCTTGCTGCAGGGCAAACACTCTGGAAAATAATATTATTGGTTACAAAGAAACACAAAGGTAGCTGGTAAAAGCAAAAACAAGCAAAAAGAAATTAATCTGCAAATGGCAGCAGATTTGGATAGAGACAAACTTTTAACATGGCCTTAAGGCCTAATTTCAGTTCTCTTTAATAGCCAAGCTCCGCAAGGTGTTACTGTGTCTTCACAGTAGAATCAGAGAATTCACCTGTAATGCAATAGGCAAAAGAAAGATAAATACTGCAGCTTGATGCAGTTAAAAGAAAGCATTCTCAAAATGTTGGCTACACATTTTAATGTAAGCTTTCAGTGTGTGGTCATTTTTCTTATTTATGATTTAGTCAGTCATGACCAGCGCCTGTCTTTTAGGTGTGCATTCACGCTAAGACTATTTCATTAACCAGTATATTGCGATATGTAACAATAAGGACTGGATGATCATCTGGATATTATAGGCACTTTTGGCTACATTTTATGTACTACACTTTTTATCCTCACAACATAGAACATGTTATAATTCACAGTGTTGGGGAAGCTACTATCTGAATTTTGTGTTATCTGACCACAACTAAAACAGTTAACTTGCACCTTTTTAGAGTGTTTGACAGATCTGAACACTGGTCTACTAAAATGGGCCTTCTTGTCAGTTTTTTACCATCTGATTTGTACAAACTTAATAACTAAAAGGTTCTTTAACTTTCAACTTTAAGTAAATCCACACATGAATTTTGGTCATGGACAGGATTTTTTCTCCACTACATAGTTTTGTGTTTGTTGGAAATGGCTTCCCCTAATAAAAATAACAAAACTGTTGTCTTTCTTGTAGTAGCTCAATAATTTTATAAATGCACCAATATTTTGTGTTATTATAACAGGGATGGAAAGTTAAAGTACAAACAGTCAAATCATAAATAGCCTATAGTAGCCATCTTCTAGTAAAACATGTATGAATGCTCATTTACACTTATTTGTACTGTTGATTGGCTATTTAGCCTGTGGTACCTACACAGGGCTCAAACATTTTTGGTGGCTCCAGGCAAATGGCTCTTCAGATAGTAAAGGATAATAAGGATAATCACCTTTATTTGGCCAAGTATGTTACACACACAAGGAATTTGTTACTGGTACAGAACTGAGGCAGCCATCTACGGCGTCAACTCACACCGATGGATCCAACCATCGGGGGCAACTTGGGGCTTCAGTGTCTTGCCCAAAGACACTTTGACATGTGGACTACAGACGCTGTGATTTGAACCTCCGATTGGGAGATGACTGCTCTACCCACTCAACCACAGTCGCCCCCAAGAGGTAACCGATTGTCCCAATAACACAATTTAATGTGACTTTTTGTTTCCCCAAATTTCTACAAAGGAGGCTGCGATAGCAAATTTAGCACTAGCTATATGAGTCCTCATACCCACTTTTAGGGGAAATATAGCAGGTAAAAAAACAAAGTTATCCTCTAAGTTAATGCAAATAATACAACTGTATATGGCATGGTTATAGGAGCTACAGTGGATAAACTCCACCCTCAAATTCTTCTTTCACCTTAGTTTAGTATTTCTATCCAAGGCAACCCTATTCTACTATCGCTCTCCATGCAGTGCTGAATAGTTTACACAAACAAAGGCCATAGAAAGACAGCAAGGGCAGACACACAGACCTCAACCTACTTAACCTCATAACTAACTGAAGTCATAATTGTAACACAAGTTGTGTAAACTTAGTTTATATGTGTATCAAACTTAACTGAATTCTTTGTGACTGTCAAGTTTAAAGTTGCAGTGCAAAGTGGTCAAGATATTAATTTAAAAAGCTTCTTGAAGGCTATAACTGTGTCATTGTACAGTGGATCAACAAAACTGACTGTTTTATTTTCAGCTACATTTATTTATAACAATGCTATTTTCCACTGTTCTATGCATGTATCAATTATAATATTTAATGTATATGATACATTTAGATTAGGAAATACAGTTGCAACTTTGAAGCAGGTTAAAACATTTTTGACACAAATTGGCAGAACAGGAAATGCCCCCACACCAGCAGGGAGTGTTGTTTACCAGCCTTCTGGGTTTTTGAAAGCTCACTAGGCATTAATCTTTAAAACAAATGTCATAAGACATGGGAGGCACAAACTGGGGCTACATGAGCTCTAGAAATTTACCATGCCTGAAACATTCAGTCACAGCTAATCCAGATATCTATCTTGTGTGTCTAGAGTTTGACCTGTTGGCCGATATGACTGAGCCCATGTTAATACTCTAATGTCCTAATATAGACATTTTTGACTTAATACAAACCCTTTACATATTTCCTTTATGGACCAACTTCATCAGTAATTGCAACTATGTTTGGGCATTGAACTCACCAGTATGGGAAAGCCAGTCAGGAAGTCATAGATGAAGACGATACCACTAATCAGGTAGGTGATCTGCAATGATGTCTTAAGAGGCTCTGATCCATCGATAGATGATCTGCGTTTCCCCTGGGCATCCTCCACCACAATGGTGGGGACGTTGAACTTGTTCTTGTCTGCATTGTGGCCTGCCTGAATGGAGAAAGTCTGGAAAAGAGCAATGCCGATGCAGATCACACCCATGGCCACGCTGCCACCAATCAGCAGCAGAAAGCACACACCGAAGCCAAGGCCAATCTCCGTCACAATGAATCTGCAGTCAGAGGTGTAGAAACGGTCGATCGTGTCATGCCAGCCCACTGCAGGAAGTGTGGACAGAATGAAGGAGACCATCCAGATGCCCATCACTGTGTGCACCGCCTGCTTCTTGGTGTTACTCAATCTGGAGGCAGAAAGGCAGATTTTAGCATAAAGGAAGTTGATGTGATATCAAGCCTGCAAGTAAAATTGGCTTTGATTTTCTTTTCTGTGCAGGTCCTATAGCTGATAAGGAAGTGGATTTATGATACTACTTCTGCTAAACCTTAACACCAGAGGTGCTTGGACCACTAATTTCAAATTTACATGCTAGAATTTTTCAAAAACCATACATTTCAAAACAAATTGTGTCCAATATGTAGAACCTCTAGAAAAAGAAAGAATCAAATTAGAAGATGGTGAAAAGTGGGCTCCTTATAGTTTTCGTAGCACATCAAGGGTCACCAACCCAAACTGAACTCAGTGTGTTGCAAATAATGAATGTCACTTACAATTTTTTCCCATTAGGGGTCACCACAGCAAATGGTCACACTGACGATTCACATGTTGACATTTGGCACGTGTTTTACGTCGGATGCCCTTCCTGATTGTGCCTAACCACTAGTCTATCAGGGAACCAGTTGGATATAACAACTAAAATTCAGTACTAATGAGAGGTCTGACAGTGTGATTTTATGTTATATGGAGAGTGATGATGAAGAAATATGTCATCAGAAAGAATCTTTGTAAAACTACACCATATATAAGGCACTGTAAAACATAGTTAATGACACAAAATGGCAGATCTGCATCTGGGACACATTAGCTAAAAAAAGCACCTCGGTGATCACATAGATAAACTGAATCTGAATTGAGGGAAACTGATGCTTTTCTGATTGCGAAACATTGCTTTTCATGTTCCCCGGTGTATTTTTCATCTAGGTCTATTTCAGTGCGAAGAGATTTCTATTTTCTTTCACCTCCGAGTAATTGTTACTGTTGAGCAATTTGCTGAACGTGTCTGTATCCCCTGGCAGTGTTGCACTTCTGAAGGTTTGCAACGGCACACATACATCTAGAAATGTGGCAGGCGGTGACTGGTCTTCTCATTTTTAAAACCTGACAAAGGGATGTGCCATGCTGAAACATTCACACATGAAGTCGTGCTAAGTTGTTCAAAGTAAAGTAAGTGGATATAATAAGAAGGGTCAAGTAGACAGAATGCTACTGTTTACATTAATGTATCTCTCTTTATTCATACTGTATGTATTGTAAAGAAATACAGTACATTTTCTGTAAAGTGTCATTTGTCTGGGAGCAGATTTGGCAGGAAACCCAATCTGTCTCCCTCAAGAGAACCAGAGTGCGTCACTTATCCTCTTCTTCCCCACATTAATACCTCCTGGAGGAGTGCTGGCTAAACAGATAGTAAAACGTATCCCCCGACATACAAAATGACTCAAAAATACAATTAAAATCTACAGTATGGAACTAGTGATGCAGTAACTTACTGTACACTCATTAATACAGGCAGTAGCAGCCTCTGTCTTTGCACTGTGGCCTTGTACAAAAATGAGTGATTCTTGTAAACGTGAGTAATAATGCTCATCTTTCCTGAAAGTGCCTGGGGTGCATATGATGAGGAATTTACATCACCAAGTTGCTTGAAATTATTACCAGAGAGAAAGCATTGCAAGGGAAAAAGATAGTATAATGAGCACAAGATGATGAGAGCAGTTACCCAAGTATAAGGTTGGAATTCATAATTCAGGCCTTCCGTGTGTGTTAATGTCAGAGACAAGGCAGCCCTGCTTGCTCAGTGGGGCAAACATAAAGCGATTTTAATGTAAGGTGAATAGCAGTTGCACAGTGCATCGCCTGAACTATCACCCCATCACATCATTGTTATAAGTAACTTGAAAATGAGAAGATGAGCAGCTGACAGCAAAGTCAATGTTTCCCGATGGAGATGAGAAAGAGAATATACAGATGAGGGAGCTAGAAACTAGATGTCTGCTATCCCTGTTTGGACATCAGCCAGTGGTGACAGCTGCACAAGCACTGCAGATAGCAAGATTAAGCATAGATTTAAATAGGAGTTTGCATTTCTTATTTAAATGTCTGATTATCTGCATGGTGCTGCAAAGCTGGCCATGCTGACTGTAGGCTGAGCATCTGCAGGGCTGATGCCACAGCAAGTACAGTAACTCTTTTTATTCCAGCAGGGAAGGAAGAGAGTGGCAATAGAATAGTGATCCTCACCACATGCACCACAGCACCAGTTTCTGCACCATTTCAATAAGTCATATTGTAACGTGGCGGTATTCTGCAGATATAAATACTGCTTTTATATGTGCACTGCCTGTATTTGCCACAGTATGTGCTCTAGAAATGCATTCATCTGCAAATGATTTTTCTGTGCCTGATGACCAGAAATAGGCCATGATAAACAGTTGGGTTGCACCAGAGCCAAGACCTCTGAGGTGTGCTTCAAGGTAAGAGGTTCAGCTGACTTACATATTGATACCTGCATGTGATCAATATGCAGATCTAATTCTGTGCAACTATCATTATCATGTATCATTGCAGACAAAATACCAGACTAAACAGACAAAAAAATGAACCATTTTTTTTATAAAAAACACTGTAAAATATAGAAATCAAAGCAATCTAAATAAATATAGCCTTTATAATGATGATGATTTCAGAAAAATGTCTACATAAATGCATTATTTTGCCAATAATTGTGTTTATAAAAGTGTTTACATTTCAAAGTAAACAGTAGCCAAAAGTATTGATTGTTATTATTATAAACTAATCAACAGCATAGCTCATGTTAAACAGCACATATGCATCCCTCAATACAGGTCGAACCAGCATCAAAACCGTACTGCAAAGGAAGCAGCGATGTTGCTCAGAACATCTGATTACATGTGAACACCAGATGTCTTGGGAGTCTAGCAAGACCAAAATGGTGTTACTGCAGCCAAAGCTGATTCTTAATGTGAGATGAATCTGATCTTTATTATTCACTGTTACTTTGTAATATCACTTGCTGCGAGGAGCCAAAATAGGATGGAAGCTACTGTAGAGCTAGCAGATGCTTAGTCTAGAGGATTTTACATGGTGTTACCCCAAATAACTGTAACCAACAGATGTTTTGGCAGGAGAAAGATCTCATGTGATACAGAGCATCCCTCTCAAACACTAAGATAGATAAACACAGTGTCTAGTGACACTAATCTCAAACCAATCTGAGCAATCTGTTCAGAGAGGCCCAAAATGTGTTTTCCGGAGGTTAGAATGTAAACCGTCTTTTCCAAATTCTACTGCTGAAAATGAAATGCTCAGTGGAAAAAAGGCTAAAAGTACTTTGACCAAATCAGAGCCTACAAAAAAGGTGTTTGTGGATCTACAGTGCCTTGCTAATTAAACCAGACTGATGTTACACTCAGAGTGTTACTTATTCTGTGAGGAGCATGAAGAAAATTCCAAGGCAGACACTTCATAAACAAACATAAAAAGCCCAGGCAAATAAAGCCAAAATTATCTCTAGCAGTATGATAACCAGCCTCTGTGCATGCCACAAGAGTTAAGTTGATCATTTGGCTCAAATGACCCTTCCCTTTAACAAATTGCACCACCTAAATTGAGAGTGTCATTTGAATAAGAATAAACAGGCCAATTTTGTATGAGGAGAATACCTTACCTGTAGTTAACAGGCCAGCGTACCATCCACATGCGGTGATAAGAGAGCGAAGTGACGGAGAAGCAGGTGACTAATGTGAGAGTGTAGAAAGTGGAGACAAACACCTTGCACAGACCCTCGTTCCACTCATAATTGGAGTGCTGACGGCGCAGTGTTATGACACAGTACATTGTAATGGGGATGGCCATGTTGAGAATGTGCGTGCCCGCCAACGTGCAGATGAGGAACTCCAGAGGCTTCCACTTTTTCTGCTTGGCACTAACGCTAAGGATGCTCCAAGTGTTGGCCAGGATGGACACGCCCGAGCAGACCAGCCAAGCCAGCGTGTTGGCATTGATGATGTCATCCTTCATGGTGGTTACCTCATCCACCATGTTGGAGCGGGGCAGAGCGGAGCCTGGGGGGCCACAAGGAACTGTTGGCAAGAGCAGGTACACGTGAGGAGAAGGAGGAGGTGGTGATGGGCAGGAGGGAATGCAGGGTGTCAGGTGAGGCAGGCATCCTATCTGGGTGGGTGTGCTTTCTCCATGGATTGGGCACAGCGGGGAGAAGACACGGCAGTGGTGCAACACAGTGGGTTGTTAGATGGGGAGAATGGAAGAGCCCGGCCAGTTCCCTTACAAGCTTGAGGTTGGAGAGGGGAAAAAAGAAAGATGGAGGTACAGTGATCAGAGACAGAGAGAGTGAGGAGGATGTATCAAAAATTATATCAGTCAGTCCAGTTGAAAATCATCATCCATAATTCCTCATCCCAGTGAACTAATAGGATTATGTTAATAACAACAGTTTAACTTAAACTGTTAATGCTGAAAGCCACCCATTGCACGTGGTTAAGACAGGAGAGCAATCAGTCAGCAGAGCTAATTTTAAAAATACTGCAAGCCATATGACAGAGAATGGCAAAGAGCTACAGTGTGACGCAGCAGTTATTTTATAGAAGAAGGTGAATCACTGAAATGAGTCCAAACTTCTCTAATGATCACAGTTATACATGACGGGAACGCTTTGGATATAACGCCAACACACACACAAAGCTACGCCAAACATGCTGCAGGAGATGAATAAAACAACAGAAATTTAAAAATGCAATCCAATAGGATCATCCTGAAAAAATACAAAGATGAATTAGAAATTTACTGATCAATTCATCATTTCATTTACTTACCTACTAAAGTGCAAAACATCCACTGTTTTCAGTGACTCAGATGTGGCAATTCGATGCCTTTGTAAATGGAAAATCTTTTAGTTTTTGGAATGTGAAGCCTCTGCAAAACTGTGGTATGCAATTTCACCTTTTTTGATAACTTGCTGACTAAGACTTATTCATCCTAATGATAAATAACCAATATATTACCCATAATTAAAATAACTACTTTCTTTCTTGATGCTCCCAGAGATGTGCTGATTCAACTCTACAGAAAGTTTTTTAGGCAGCAGTTTCTGGCATTAACTAAAAGGGTTCCAGTGTATTGTTAAGTGTATGAGTCTTTTGTTTGTTTGTTTGTTTTTGTTGGAGTTTGTCCCACTTCTGTACAGTAGACCAAAATGGTGACAACAAAATAAAAAACCAATCTTATGCAGTCTTGTTACAAGCAGTTATGGGAAGAAATCCTACCACACACACACACACACACAAAAGAAAGCCTGAGAATCATCAGAAGAGGAGACTTTGGTTCCCCCACAGTGGAGTGAAACATGCTTGGCATAACTGAAACATGTTGCCACATCTATTTCCTGCCTTTTGGCTTGTCCAAACAATGATGGACTTGTTGGCCTTTGAGAGGGGACAATGGAAATGACAGAGCAATGTCATCATCACCCTGGTCTCACTTCTACTGAGCTAATCCTCCTCTCTCGCATGTCCCTCCAGTGGCACCCTAATCATCTGTCAGCCAATCAGAATCAGTGCTGCTGATACAGGTGGCTATGAAGCAGCCATATGCTCCTCAGGCCCCGTGAAAGCATATGACTCAGGGGATGCTCTTATAAACACATCATGACATATTCCAACATTTCAAAAAGCCGCATGTTCATACCAAGGCATTCACCTCTGGTGACTTTACTATTTGGCCAAGAGACAGCAACAGCAATTAGGCTCCAACACATACATCAACACAACACGGTACATCAACACGACTACTATAAAATTATGTCAAAATGAAATTTCACAGCCAGTGGTGTCTCATGCTTGGAAAGCCTGGAACGACAAAATTATCTGAGCAAACCACCGTCTGACAGTCTTGGCAGTTATGATCTGTCTGCTACCAAAACAGGTTACCTCTTATAAATAAGCTAGTCATGGTCCATGTGACTTTTGTTTACAAGTTGTTCAACTGTAACATCGCATTTTTAATTCACACAAACAAAACACAAAAAGCCAAATATAGTATTTTCTAACATTTCACTATGGAGGCAATCAGAGGAAAACACACTGTGTTAAAAGTGTTACCATGCTGTCCCAAACCACACACACACACACACACACACACACACACACACACTTATTAAACAAGCCTGATACATAAAAAGAATGATTCATAGCTTTGATCCAGGAGTCCCCAGGTGGTTGAGATGGACGGATCTGTAGTCTGTCTGTTCCCCGTGGACTGAAACCTCAGCTGTGTCAAACACTGAACACTGCAGCAATGTTACAGAATCCACCACGGCTTGAACCAAATCCCTCTCACATGCACCCAAGATAGTGCTAATGAAAGGAACCTGGTAAATCTTTTGTTTTCAGAAGCAACAAAAACGGATGTGGGAAAGCCATCCAAGTCGAAGCAGTACTTTACACAGGTAAAGATACAGTAGGATTTCTTAATGAGGAGTTAAAGTGTAGAGTTAATTTGGTTATGCTGTCGAGAAGCATCTGTGACTCTCTGCGTATGTCCCAAGTCTCTTATATGCATCCAGTTTCCCTCACTTGTACCTTTTCTTTGTAGCC